CTAATAAAAATGCGACACCGCAGGTGGAGCATTTTTAGGTTGACAGTTTTTCGAGTCCAATTGCTAAAAGGAAACAGATTTGAATTGCCACAACCCAAATTTACTCGGTTTAAATACAAACCTCGAGTGTAATTCGGCAGGACAATTTAACGAACAAGAAATTCACCAAATTAATCAATTATTGACAGACGTCAAACTAGTCATATGGGAAAGGATAATGCGATAATTGGTTCGAAAATGAATAAGTGAAAAAACCACTAGTGCATTTGTCGCTGGAAAAGTTGCAGGTAACTTTTGCCGCTGTCAAAGTGACAATTGCACTGCGGCTTATGCGATTTTTTATACATGAGTTGAATTGTCGCTGAAATACCACACGTGCAATTATCACTATAATTCGTTCCCATTGGCGCAGCAATTTGAAATCGAGACATTTCACTGGTTGAAATGTGACAAATGTTAGATGAATTGAATAGTCAAAATTATCCGGCAAACTATATAATAGAATAATTGTGAGAAGATCGCCATTTATTTCTACATTCATGGCGTTGAGTTTATCAACCGTACCAAAGAAACGCGATAAATGTTCCCTCACATCATTTCCATCGAATAGTTTTTGAGTAATTAATTGCTTAAGTAAATTTGCTTTTCGGGCAGGTCCTTTTGATGCGTAAATACTTTGTAATTTCATCCATACATCGTTCGAAGTTTCGCATCCACGTATTTGCTTCAGCTCGGATGGTGAAATTGATAGTATGAGCTCTGACTTCGCTTTACTAAATTCGAACGAACCAATAATCGCCGATTTATACATGAATTGCATACAACATTTTTTCGTCGACTTCACTGGGGTAGGTAATTTTAAATTCAACTACAAGAAATTACAAACGAAATTATGAGCTCCGACGATTTTTCACTAAATTACAGCTATTGTCGTTGCTATAGTAATGTGTTGTTTTATGCTGTACCGTCAGTCCTCGTAATCTCAGTGAAAGATTATGTTGCTTTCTCTGCTGCGGAGACGATTTTAACATTATATCCACTCAAATCAAAAGAAACTTATTGGAACGGTTTCGATCAGTTCGGCAGTTGATGGAATACAATGAATTTGAAAGTAGATATTTCCGAAAATGTCACGTTGACATTTTACCTTGAAAAGGTATGTGAAATTAGAATGTAATTAATTCTTTTGCAACTGTACTAAAGTACGTGTATTAACAGTGAAAGATATGGAAATGTTCATCCCTGTGGTCGACGTACTCAATGTTGAAGGTAAAGTAACTGAATACCTTAACAATACCTTATCCGAGGAGCTACACATACATACCTACATCAGGATATGCTTTGCTGAGATCGTTTGGCGACCATACTGGCTGCTGATCTCACTACATTAAAACCGAAATTAAAATGGTTAGGTGGATGGAAGTTCTCAGCTGTTGCCGAAAGTAAATTGTTATATAATTGTCATTTCCCTTTAATAAAATGGTTGTTATGTAGGTATAAGTGGTTGCTAACGATTAATGGTTGCTAACGTATAATGGTTGGTTGCTAACCATTAATGGTTGCTAACGATTAATAAGCTTCATCATTGTACTCGTCACTAAGGAGTAATTTATATTGTTATCGAGAGGTCGACGAAAAATAAAATTTGAAACTCTAACATATAATGTAACATTATGTAGTAATTAGAATAGTGCAATTACTGTAACTTAATAAATTGTATTACTATAGAATGAAGTAGTAAAATAGAATTTCCATTGTGCACCATGAAAATTCCATTTTCCTTAACGAAGGGCGTGTGGTGGTAACCCAAAAATATACAAAATTAACATGCTTATTTTCTATGTCACATTTCCTGTCTGTAATGTGAACCTAGCGAATTCAATAGAATAATATTGCATAGTTGCATACAGGAAGGTGGCATGGATTATTGCTTATGATTTAGTTAGTAGCTACAAGTGGAAGACTAGGGTCGAACCATCAAAATGTAGCTTTATTATTATATTTAAATAAAGTACTTAAATAAAACCCAAGACAGTATTAGTGCAGCGGAGAGAGCCGCGAAATCGTTCAAAAAATTTTTTCGGAGTAGAAAGAATTGGGACCCACACCATTTTGTTCAGAAATGTTTGAACCTTCAGAATCTCGGTTTACGACATTTTCCCGTGGTCCTGACAAAAGTTATAGGCCGCTAAAGTTGAATTTTACTCATTTTCGCGCGCGCGACTAGACCACCGAAAGTATTTATTTTCTCAGCAACTAAGCGATATACATCAATCATTCCTTTTGTAAAATGAAAGTACATTTATAGCAGAATCTAAAGCATTCAATTTACCTACCTTGTTATGGACAGTTTTTAGAAAAATGACCGTCAACTTCCATAATTCGTGTAACAGATGAAAAGTGCGCACTTTGAACTCTCATAACTTTTTATTTCACGATATCGATTTCCAATATTTATAGCTCATTCGATGCTCCAAAGCATTGTGATTATTTTATTTTCTATAACATTAACGTGAATTTTTCATAATAAAAAAGTTACGGTCATTTAAGTAAAAACCTACCGACCTCACCGAGTCGGTAATCGCGAGTGAGACGGAGAGGGAAGGATAGTCAGCAGCGTTCGCTAAACAAGGAGCGATGCGTAAGAGATTTTACTTTACTAAGAAATTTCTCCCCGAATACCAAAACTAGCTATTTAGGCCGTTTAGTTTACAAATGCATTCCGCCGAGTTGCATTGTAAAATCTCAAACAATTCATTAACTCCATGTATCTCAGTTCTTTGGTGAAATATATAGGTACAAATACTGTGCGATCAAAATTGAGTTGCTGTCGAGTTACCTTTGGAACTTTCGTTTACATGGGAAATCGTATTTAACTTGACTTTCCAAAGGCGACTCGATAGCAACTCATTTTTGATCGCCCGTTAGGTACCTTTCCTTGTAAATTTTGGGGGTTACTCCACATTAGGTATCTCTTGTGCTGTGCTGTATATTGCAAGATCAGCAGTGACAACGGTATGATTTTGTCCCAAAGATTCAGGCTTGTTTTTTGATTTCACTAGACGATGGTTAGGATGGTATTGTAGCTCGTTGGTGGAGAATTCAAAAACGGCATAGGTACATATTGAATGGTAGATACCGGAACTTACTTAGGATTATCAGCATGTACTTAGGTTGTTAAAGTTAGTTATCTGGTCGTTATCTAGTGATAGGTAAACGAGGAATTTGGATTTCTTCTGCCGATGTATCTCGCTTTTCAAAAAGGACTGTGCGTTGAATTTTTTTCGTCTGTTTCCACAGAATATGGCCTACTTATTCTTATTCTGTGACTGTTTCCTCATTGATGTCGAAGTTATTAATGCTCGCTGTGATAAAATTATCATTTTTTATTTGACAAATTTTTGTGAAATGTAGGTAGACACCCTTTGCAGAACATGTAATAATGACGTTTACTATACTTGTTATGCCACTGTCGGAGAATATTTTCTGACCCGAAAGACCAATTGGCAAATGAGTGTAACTTTTGTTTGAAAAATGACCTTAAGAAAAACTGTTCAACAATTTTGTTCCGTATGTACCTACACAACAAACTTCGTGGAATTTTGTCAATTTTCGTTATGCGGCCAAGAATTGCAGTGGAATAATTTTTTTCGTATTTTCAAAAACTAATTTCAGATTCGTGATTTTTATATTCAAAAACCACAAAATTTCGTCGAAATCAACATTTTTTCGCACCCCTATTGAGGGGTGTGCCCTTTTGTGGTAGGAATTTTGAATAATTATTTGCAAAACCGGAAAGGGCATACAGCAAAACCCATTCAAAGACTTACCACCAGTCTCTGTAACTGTTGCTGAGAAAAAAATTAAAGGAGAAATGGAAACTTTACCACTTTTTTGAGGGTGGCTCCTAAACGAATACATGGAGTTAATGAATTGTTTCAGATTTTACAATGCATCCCGGCGGACACATTTGTAAACGGCCTAAATAGCTAGTTTTGGTATTCGGAGAGAAATTTCTTAGTAAAGTAGATCCTCTTACGCATCGCTCCTTGTTGCGCGAACGCTGCTGACTATCCTTCCCTCTCCGTCTCACTCGCGACTCCCGACTCGGCAAGGTCGGTAGGTTTTTACTTAAATGACCGTAACTTCTTTATTATGAAAAATTCACGGTAATGTTATAGAAAATAAAATAATCACAATGCTTTGGAGCATCGAATGAGCTATGAATATTGGAAATCGATATCGTGAAATAAAAAGTTATGAGAGTTCAAAGTGCGCACTTTTCATCTGCTACACGAATTTTGGAAGTTGACGGTCATTTTTCTAAAAACTGTGCATAACAAGGTGGGTAAATATGAATGCTTTAGATTCTGCTATAAATGTACTTTCATTTTACAAAAGGAATTATTGATGTATGTCGCTTAGTTGCTGAAAAAATAAATACTTTCTGTGGTCTAGTCGCGCGCGCGAAAATGAGTAAAGTTCAACTTTAGCGGCCTATAACTTTTGTCAGGACCACGGGAAAATGTCGTAAAGCGAGATTATGAAGGTTCAAACATTTCTGAACAAAATGGTGTGGGTCCCAATTCTTTCTACTCCGAAAAAAAAACTACCTCAAATAAGCGAGTTAGCGTCGGCTCTCCGCTGCACTATATCAAAAGGGGATTTACACTTGATCCGTTTTTCAATTGTAATTATGTACTTATTTGATTATCCTTCATTTTGAAAATAATTGCTCTATGGAAAAACTAATTTCGAAGTCAATAAGCTGGAATATGTAAAATGAAGCACGCGAGAGATGTGTCACGAAACAGAAAAATCTCGACCCCCTCCTCCTCCTCGTAACAACCACAATCACAATCAATCAGTGCTTTGTAATTTATCTTGTATCTCTGTTTCCCTCTGGGTTTTCGCGGAACGGCTGCGCTCTAAAGTGAACATCACGTTGCACGCCTTTATATAAGGGGTTGTAAACAGAGCGCGAACAGTTCGCAATTTACATCGTTAACAGTTATATCACAGTACAGGGTAGATACTCAGTGAAAGCGATAACTTATTGTATTTTGAAAATGTTTATGCAAATACCGTCACCGGAAAATCGTAGCGTTTCCCCATACTCGACTTCGCCGTCGCGCGAAATTCGCGGTTTAAAATTGTTTCGGGCAATTAGTAAGAAATTGGCGAGAAAATCGCGGGAAGACGTCAACTTTGGAGAGGATGCAGATAGTGGTTCCTGCAGTACGGATTCATCGTCTTCGACGTCGGCGGGCCGCTTCACGAAATCAAGGAAAACCATCAGTTCCGAACTTATATCATCGCCTCAAAGAATTTCGAGCAGCTCGAGCGACGCTGGAAGTGACACCCAATCAGTTAAACACAGGCACTCGTCGTCAGTGGAAAACTTCAGAAGGGCCTTCCAGAACCTAACGGTCTCGGCGAGATCGCAAAGTTGCAGTAATAGTAAGGAATCGAAAAAGAAAGCGAAAAAATCGCCAAAGAAAATTCTTCGGTCACCGGTTTCGTACACATACGTTAAGGGATTATCGGGATTACCGACGCAGCGAGTACCTCGAAATCAATCGGGGGTTTGTTATAATGGGGCCTGCGGTTATAATATTCAGTACATGTCCAGTTTGCATCGATAAACTAATTGTAAGTCAAGAATAACAAAAGATGAAATGAGCAATATGTAGTATATGCGCCACCCATTTCAAATTCTTGAACGAGTATAAGACTGGCCTCTGTGCATCGGACATGTACAACTACAATTTACTGTAACAAATACGTAATTTTAAGGGTTTTATAATGTAAAAAGCTGTATACATTTTCTAGCCTGTAAGTATTTGATACAATTAACGTTAAGTGGAATTTAAATGATAGAGGGACACAATTTGACAGTTATTACTATTGTACACCATTTGCACCAATTGGCCCTTTGGCATGGAAAAAAACTACATTTTAAGGTAATGCAAAATCGTTATATACATACAATATCTGTGCACCATCACTTCCCCCTAATAGTGCCTTTTAGATTCCTGTTATAAATAAAAGAAATGAAATCTTCGAAAGCGTTTATTTTTACCTCTACTCTGCGTAGAAAGGCGGTCACGTGATTTGTTTTCATTTACCTACTCATTAAACGTGACCTACCTACAAATTAGCACGTGATTCTTCAAGTGTTCTAATTAAAACTCGTAAGTCTTCAACGGCACGAATGAGAAGCCGCAAGTAAACTATTGGCTAAAAAGAGGTATCGATCGGCCCTCGAAATTCGAAACTACGTCATATTAATCGCAAAAATAGCTGCGAAACTGGGAAAATTTTCCATGACCGACGCTTCTTTGCGCTGCAACCTAAAAAAGGAAATCGGAGCTTATGACGGGACGGTGATACGAAAATTGTGATACTTTTTGTATGCCTTCGCGACAGGTGAAAATGCGAAGAAAAAGTGGCGAATCAATAGTGAATGTCGCGGTTTATCTTGGCAGTTGAGCTACTTGTTTGTCTATCTATGAGGTCGTCGAGATATAACGTTTTACACGAAAAAAGCTTAATAAAATGTCATTGTCAACAGAAAACCTTATACTTACTCATGCTAGGTTCTCCTTTTTGAAGTTTCATGAAACAATTCTGCATACCACATTTATTCTTTTGATAAGTAGACTTGACTTACAGCTTTATTACCCTTTGGTTTGACAATCCCTTGGAGAGAAAGAAGAGGTAGGTATTTGTGAAATACAGTTACGAGTTACAAATTTTCTACCAACAACAGGCGTGGCGGATGAAAAACAGATCCGTTAAACCTATTAATTGTAAATTTCCTCATATCGAAAACTATTGTTGTCCCCAAAAACAATTTTTAGGCTCTGCTTTTATCACGACTTCTTTTTTAAAGCTCCAAAATCAAGAAAATTTGCTGGCTTCCTATAATAGATCGCTACAACAAAAAATATTGAGGATAAATTAAATTGTAAAAAAAAAAGCGTACAGGGTGGCTTACCATTGGGATCTCCGTAACGGTGAAAGATAGAACAAAAGCGAAAAACGACAGGTCCCAAATCGACCAAGAAAAGAATTTGACGCAGATTTTAGCTTGTAGATCTAGAAATATTGGTATCATCAAGATTGAATTACTATACTATCAAAAGCGAAGCAAAATCTTACCTCAAAAGTCGTGCGAAAAACGACTTCTTTCGGATTGACTGGAAAAATTTATTTTCATATAACGGGCAATCAAAAAGGGTCCGTTAACTTGGCCCCCCTACTGAGAGATTTCATAGTCGTATTATTTTGAAATGAATGCGCTCGTTATGCGCTCATATGCGCCACCGATAATAACTCTTGCGCCATTATCGTTTTTTTAGAAATCCGAAAAAACATTTGGGGAGGGGGGCCAAGTGAACGTAGCCCCCCCCCCCCAGTACTTATTTTGTCCCTTGTAACTAGATCACCTGATACATTTGGTTATGCGCTCAATTGCGCCACTTGAATTAAAGCTAGCGCCATTACGGTTAAGCCATAAAAAAATTTTAAAAAGGGGGGGGGCTAACTTAACGTTTTCAAAAGTTACGTTTTTTAACATGTTTTTTCTACTACATCGTACCTTTCATCATGCGCTAAAATGCGCCGTAAACAAAAAATCTTGGCGCCATTATAGTGTTTCAGAAACACTATACAGGGTGTTTTTTGGGAGCTTTAGTTAAACGATTCTGAGAAAGTAAAATAGGTAGGTTTTTAAAAATTTGTATTTAGGAGTTACTCCGAAGGCCGAATCGATGTAAAATATTTTCAAAATGGATGCACTTCCGGAAATAACTTTCGAAAACGCTAAGTTAGACCCTCCACTTTTTAAAAATTTTTTATGGCTTAACCGTAATGGCGCTAGCTTTAATTCAAGTGGCGCAATTGAGCTCATAACCAAATGTATCAGGTGACCTAGTTACAAGGGACAAAATACGTACTGGGGGGGGGGGGCTACGTTCACTTGGCCCCCCCCCAACCCCCCAATGTTTTTTCGGATTTCTAAAAAACGATAATGGCGCAAGTTATTATCGATGGCGCATATGAGCGCATAACGAGCGCATTCATTTCAAAATAATACGATTATGAAATCTCTCAGTGGGTGGGGGCCAAGTTAACGGACCGATCAAAAATGAGTTGCTGTCGAGTCGCCGTTGAAAGTTCAAGTTAAGTGCGATTTCCCATATAAATAAAAAATATAGGTAACTCGACAGCAACTCATTTTTGATCGCATACTGGATGTCGGAATGCGGTTTCATTAATTCCTGCGGTTTCTTCGGCATTTCAGAGCTTTTCCGATTCTTTAATTTTTATGACCCTTCAACTATTTCTTTAGAAAGTCCATTTCAATTCTTTTAATTTTTCTGTGTTTTAATGTGTTCAATGAACTATACAGGCTCACTCAATTTTTGCCATTGGTTCTGTTCTTTATGTTCTTCAGACTCTGTGGATCACGGTCTACGTCTTTAACTTTCTCCGGTTATTACGATGCCTCACCACTGAAATTATCGGATTCTTCGGGACCTTCGAATACTTCAGATTTGTTATATTCTACACACTATTTGAATTCTTTCTTTGTATGCTTCTGATTCTTTGAATTTTGAGGTTCTTCCGATTATTTGCTTTCCATGTCATTGGACTTCTGAACTCGTTCATTTTCCATCATTGAGTTCATGAATGCTATAATTTTTCGAAACTCTCGGGTTCTTCACATTTTGCGGATTTTTCCGTTTCGTCAAGCAAAAAAAGCAGAAAATGCAGAATTCCCGTTTAAATTCTATGGAAAAGCGACCAGCAAAAGAGACATTGTAATAGATTTTTACCTGCAGAATCCAAAGTGTCAAGGTTGGATTTCCACACCAATTCTGCGGTTGAAAAAGTGATTTTAAAAGATGGAAAAAACTATAGGTTGCCTCCAAAATCGTGGGAAACTGAACTTGTTTCATATGGGTCGAAAAATTTAATAAAAGTCAGCCTGTCGAACCCAAAAACATAATTACTGTTGCAACAAAAACTCATGACGTAGAACTGATTTAAAAGATTATAGTCTTGCTGTTAAAATCAAATAAAAATTTGTCCCAAATGAACCATAAAAATACACTCCCTAGTAGGCGCGTAGGACCCAAAGCCCAAATTTGTTAAGTTTAAATAGTTACAATAAATGCTATGGAATGGAGTCCATAGTATAGTCGACTGTTAAAAAAATTCAATCCCTGCAATAAAAGCCATTGGCAAAAAATAATTTTCGGAAACGCGACTACTTGTTCCAGATCGATCAAGAAAAAAACTTCTGATAGTTTTTTGCGCGTAGCATCCAAAAAACTTCAGACTCTTTCTTGGATTTCTTCCGTTTCTTCGAACTTTTCACATTGATTCTGTGTTTCAATTTCTTCAGATTCTGTAAATTTTCAAAAATTGCTCATTTGGGTATACGAATTCTTCCGATTCTTCCAGTTCAGATTCTATTCTATTCAAAATTATGGACATTCCTCAGGTTCTTAGGAATTTGCTGTCCCTTCCAATGTTTGAGCCTGTTCCAATTCAACCTTAGGGATCTTCCAAACTCCTCTATTTCTTCAAAGCGCTTCGTATAGTCAATTTTCTGGCATATTTCCATTACTCACATGCTTCTTTTTTTTAATTCTTGAAATATTCTGTTTACGTTTTTCCGTGCTTCCGATTTTTCAGCCCACTGAAAACAGTCAAAGCCAATTTTGCTCACTTAACGACAGTTTTGCCGGAAACGCTCGAACACGTTAATTTGAGTTTTGAGGGGGACAACTAAATTAAGTAATACTACTTACATAACTTTAACCCTGAAAAGGGGATGAATTGCACCCCAAAAATGTTAAATGGGAAGGGGTAGTAAATGTTAGATAGGTCGAAAGGAATGTTCATTATGTTTTCAAAACTGTTTTTATTTTTCAAATCCGATCAATAGTTCTCTCGATTTAAATGGATTTGCAGAGCCGTTTTAAATGCTTAGTAAGTAGGCGTTGAAGTTAAAATAATTCAGAGCTTGTGTCAGAAAAGAACATCTGACATAAGTGCAATGAGTGCACAAGCAATGAAGCGAATTTGTGAGTGTGTTAAATTAACTTGTTTTATTTTGTTCTTTTCTGACACAAACTCTCAATTATTAACGAGCTCCTAGCGAGTGTATAATTTTGCGGTGTCTGTCCGTCCGTCCGTCCGTCCGTTAGCACGATATCTCAAAATCGAATGAACCGATTACGATGAAATTTTGCAGGTGCATTCTTTATCAAATTTGTAGATCGGAGTTCGTGTATCGGCAATGTAGGGCAAAGAATAAGGAACGCCCTTTTGACATCTTCCTTAGTTATGAACCGAATTGCATTAAATTCAAAATGAGCATATCCCAAGCAACACAGTTCCGTATGTTGCATTTATAGTAGACTAAATCCCTACGTTTAAGAAACGTAATCATATACTAGTATATAGTAGGTACGCATAAATGTCCGACGGATATTGCTATATTCTGGTAGAATATTATTGCGTCTATTATTCCCATACGATGTATATGCGTTTACTGAATACGTTTAAATTTCGCATACTGAATATGTAGTAATATCCTTACGCATTATTCGTATTAAATGCGTCGATAATGTTCTGCTAATAAGGTATCACTCGACCCTCCATTCGATTTAAAATTTTGGAGGCGGTCGTCACCCCCGCTAGGGTTTTGCCCTTAGGGGGGGGGGCGAAACTAGCAAAAAAATGGTTCCCCCTTGAATCAAAAATTGACGGGTCCGAGGATTTTTTCGTAAATGTTTTGAGGTCCCAAAAATAGGCTCTGTTTCGTTTTCAAATGGCCACCCTGTATAATAAATGCGATATATTTACTTGGTAGATTGTATATTTTTAATCAAATCAAGGGTCTAAATTATCTAAAGCGCATAATAATTACAAAGTCCATGATAAACGTGCAGGGTCCATTATCTTCTTTGCATATTTGTAAACCTGGGTATTCTTCCTTCCTTCGCACCGGTAATTGGCACC